TTTTTTTTTTTTTTTTTTTTTAATGTTTCAAGTATCAGCTGAGATTTTGAAAGAGACTGAGCCAGGGCCTTCTTTTTCCCGGCTAGTACGTTATCCCCCACCTCAGTTTTCAAAGAGTTTGAGCATTACTCCCCAACCACAAAAGACTTCCCCCCACCACTACCACCAACTGGGAAAAACAATCCATGACCCATTTGTGAATATGCCAGGTGAAATGAATTGTCCATGCTCCAAGAGCATCAGCTGCTTGAAGTCACAAACAATGGTGGCCTTTAAATTTCAAATTTCCATACATTCTGAATTAAAGTCAAGACAGAATATTTGAAACTTCTACAAAAGCACCAAAAAGCCTGCTTCCATTTCCAAATGCTTTTTTGGAGCAGTTTTTTGCAATGACAGCAACAAAAATGAGATTGCAGAGTAGAATGGGCATAAGCAACATACTTTGGGTGTCACTGTCTCCCATCATCTCCAAGAGCGTCCTTCTGGTTGCAGGAAAAGTCTCTGGGCTACTACTGCTACTGTATTATGGTGAGTTGTACAATTTTTTTAACATTCTTATTTTTTTGGTACTAGGGATCGAACTCTGGTCCTTGTGCTTGTGATGCAGGCAGTGCAACCACTGTGCTAAATCCCCAGCCCTACAATTATTTCATTGTATATTTCACTATAATATATAATGAAATAATAGAAATAAAGTGTAAAATAAGTGTAATGCATTTGAATCATCCTGAAATGGTCCACCAGGTTGTGGAAAAAACTATCTCTTAAAATCAATCCCTGGTGCCAAAAAGGTTAGGGACAGCTGACAGGTTAACCCATCCCACTAAATCTAAGCTCTTTGTTCCAAATGATAACCTGTGTTTTGTTTGGTCTGCCTCATTCTTGATGTTGTTTCCAATAGGCATTAAAGTAAACTTTGATAGAGTTAGGAAATTAAGGATAGTAAACAGAACAGTGTCATATTAAGTTTCATATGCCACAGTCTAAAATGCAAAAATTATATTTGCAAATTAAACATCAATGAGATGAGATTTCCTCTACATTTTAAGTCTAGTGTTTTAGAAAGTTCTATAATGACCTAAACTGGTAATATACTGCACTAAATAATTTTACATATTAAATCATTACATGTAATCTCATTCAGTTTACTTGCACCTTCCTTAAAATATCAGGCAGGCCTGCAGTATTCTATTGGCTAGACATTGCAGATCACTTATGAAAGATATACATAGGATCTATGAATGGAGCAGTGAGTAGGTATATACAGCCTCTATTCACTGTAGCTTAGAAGAAATGAGAGAAAGGTTTTACAGTCCTCCCATCTCCATATAAATCCATTGAAAGGTTCTTGTTATATGCATGTTATGCATGAATATACATAATGTTTTACTCATACATATACTTGCAAATTAAGATATAGTTCATTTTACTTTTTTCCTCATTGAGTTTATTGGTACATTTTAGGTATACAGTACAGTTACATTCATTATTGGGATCTTGTATCTTTACATGACAGGTCTTGGTTCTCATTTTTTCCCGTTGTCCCTACTCTCCCTTCACCCCTCCTCCCTTCCCCTTTTATAAACACTTCATTTCCATTTTTTCATTTTCTCATATTTTTACCCTTACTAGCTTTCCCCTACCCTTTCCACTTTCCCTACACCTTTAGCCCCTTTCTTTCTATTTCACATTGTCCATTATATCACTAGGATCTTAGGTACTATTATAGTTTATTCACACCAGAGAAACTATTTGGTGTTTACCCATGTGTGACTTATTTATTTCACTTAGGAGTATATCCTCCATATGTATCCATTTTGGTATGAATGAATCTAATTTCTCATTCTTTATGGCCATCCCTCTGCTGGGTGTCTTTCCAAAATAATTAAAAGAAGCATATCACAGAGATATATGTGCACCTATGTTTATAGTGCCACAGTTTGTAATAGCTAAAACTTGGAAACAGCCCATTAGTTGGAAACTGGATAAAGATGATGTTTTTCTATAAAATGGTATAGTTCATTTTAAGCAAGCTACATATTGGTTTATTGTTTCAAGGTATTTCCTTAAGATTAATGTACATCTTAAAATAGTTACTTTAAGAGTAAGGTTACAGTAAAGTTGTGATTTGAGTCTGCAGCTGAACTTAGCAGAGTTTTGGCTGTATTCAAAATACCAATTTAACATTACAGAAAAGATTACTCTTTCCTGACGTATATGATACCCTGGTTTCAATCACCAGTACCAAAAAAGAAAAAAAAAAAAGACTTAGAAAAAACTCCTTCTTGATAGAAAGTATCAGTCACTTTGAAGTATATATACCCATGTATAAAATATTAATACTGCTTTCACTGTCATTACAGTAGGATCTTGCAATTGTACACTGAACTGAGGAAGAAGAAGCAGAATCACGAAGATAGCTGGAAGGTAGGCAGCAGTTTGAAGACTACAATGAAGGAAGCAGATTAGAAACCTGGCATACATTCAAAATAAAGGTAAGTTAGATTTTTCACATTGCCAAGAAGTAACCCTGCTTAAAGTTAAACCAAGAACTGTAGGCAAGGAGTTTTTAAACATTCATTAAAAAGCAGGAAAAATAGAGATGCATAAAATTAAAGCTTAATATTTGTGAACCCTGAGAGAAGCATGGGGGCACTATGTCATTGCATTTTCCATACTGGTCCAGCAAAAGCTGTAGTCCAATCATAGAGTAAATTATTATCACAAGAGCCTCGTATTGAGCCATTGAGATCTCTTGCAGAAAACCAACTGTTTCTGTATGTTTTGAAAACGAAGTAATTCGGGGGCCAAGAGTATAGCTCAGTGGAAGATTGCATACTTAGCATGTGAAAGACCCTGGGCTCAATTGCTAACACCAAGATCAATAAAGAAAAGGAAATAATTTGGCTTATAACTTTAAAGTATTAGTAGTATCATGTTGTAAGCTGAATGATTATGTAAATGCAGATACACAAAAATTTGGTAAATTTTTTTTAATTAACTGACAGAGTCCCTAAGGATGCTCTTTTCATAGAGTTAGTTTTTAAATGTCTAAAACTCATTTATTTGGTTATAGCTTCATTTACAGAATATCCATTTAACAAAAAAGAACTTAGAGTATTTTTTTGCAAACACAAATATCCTGTATTTCCATTGTAACTTTCACTAAGCTCTAAATTCAAGTAAAAGTCATTCTTGATTTCTGGATGAGAACACAGAAGAATTCAGTTTCCCAGAGGAGAGATTAGGAATAAGCAGAGATGTAAGAATGTAAAAGAGTGTCCTGACCCAATAGATCTTTTTAAAAAAATGGAATATTTTATCAGCGAAGTTAAAATATTGTAAGATTTCCTTTTGAGATATATTTAGAATATACCTGCCCAAGGCAGAGACCAAGGAGAAGGGTACACTTAGCCTAAATCTCACTCTGCTTACCAGTCTAGAAATACTTAATCAGTACCTGTTTGTGCACAAAAAGAAGCTGAAAGAAAACCACCTCAAAAATGAAAAATCGCTTTACTTCTGAGCACCTGGCATTGTTTTGTAGCTTGTTGAGAGCTGCTGTTGTGACTGTCTCAGGCCACAGTTTGACCGATCAGACTTCTTTCCATCGGTAGCTCCAGAACAGTGGCTGCCAGCCAGCTTGGGTCTGAACAGAGGTGTGCACCCAATTACCCCACTCACACAGAGGCAGCTAAAAAGGGGGTGGGGCTGAAACACTTGTCCATTATGGTAATGGACTCTGTTAATCTCACATCCAACAGCTATGGGGTCTGAAAGAGAAAAGAGTAAAAAAGGAGTGATAACCTGGGATACTTAGACCTCCACTTACACACTTTATTCATTTGTACATGTGCTGTAGTACATAGTGTTTGCATTGCTTGTGTGGAGTTGGCACATGCACATTCCTTTTTTTATCCCTTACCCTTCCTTCCTGACCCCTCTTTCCACTTTCTGATCCCTTACTCATTTGAGAAAGATTGATCTTCCTACTTCCTGTTATCTGTGTTTCATTTTGCAGGTTATAATTTGGGTTCCTCATATAATAATGAAACCATGTAATATTTAACCTTATGTGTCTGATTGATTTTACTTAAATGATGGTCTCAAGGTGCATCCATTTTCCTACAGATGACTTAAGTTTATCCTTCTTTATGGCACAGCAGTGCTCTATTGTGTGTAAATACCACATTTTCTTTATGCATCATCTGTTGATGGACATATAGGCTTCTTCCAAGATTTTGCTATTATGGCGCTTTAAAAGAAATAGCTACCTCTTTTATAAAGTGTAGTTCTCAATTTTTTAGGCCCCATTTGAAAACTTTCACAGATTTATAGAAAGGTTGAAATGAGATATTTTTATTATATATAGGTTATAAATTTTAAATGATAATTTCCAGGCTTAAAACCAAATAAAAGCCCTGTTATGCAGTAAAATTAATTTTTCAAAACAGAAGTGAGATTAAATTGGAGGAATATGTCAATACTTGGTGAGACCGAGCTTCCCCGGACATCCAACAATAGGCTAGAACATACTCTTAGGAAGACAAGATGAAGGAATGTCTAAGGGAACCATAATTTACTTAACTACAGGTTTCCAAGGTAGCTTAAAATTGGAAATCACTTTCACTTTCTGTGAGGGGTATTCTTGACCTGGATCAGCAGCTCTTCAAATATGTTCCACCAACTTCTTGGCAATCGCTGAGATGTTTTCAAGAAATCTCCAGTCAGAACTCTTCCTATAGTAAGATGTGATAGACTTTTTTCACGATTGATATTTGCACTGGTGTTAAAAAACAATGATGCCTAAAACTTCAGGTGCCTTAGCATGAATCAAACATACATGTAGTTGCTGTATTCTTTCTTGCCATTCACTTGTACTTACAGGTGAAAGGGAAGGAGTTATTTTTACCTAAGAATGTCCTTGAGAGCACAATAAAATTACTAATTTTATTGAATTCTGTATGACAAAATAGGAAGTACATATAGAACACTCTGTATTCCCAACTACAATGGCTCTCAAGGAAAAGTGCCTATGCCGTGTTCAGTTGTGGGATGAATAAGCCAATTTTTAGAGGGAATTTTACTTGGAAGACATAACTGACAGATAAACTATGGTTATTTCGGCTTTGGTATCTTGGAGACATTTTCTTGAAAATGAACAAAATGAACCTGTTGCTTCAAGGAAAAAAATTAAAACTATTTGTTGCCAGTGATAGAACTTGGAAAAACTGGTATTCACCACTGAGCTTTTTATAGTTACCTAATATGTAGAGTAATATTATGAGAGTGATATTATTGAGATTTATAAAATATTATTTAATGAGATATAGTTTGAACATTGTAATGGTACAGTAAAGCAGTATTTTTCAGTGACCAGTACCTAGAATGACAAAATTATGCATGAGTAAAAGATGAACTACAATGTCCAAATTAGATACTGTAGCATAAGAGCTGAAGATTTAAGGATGTGTTTTCAGATTCCAGAATACCGTTACTTTTAAGGAACCATCTATCACTCAGCACATTTTAATATCAAAAAGCATGTTCATAATTATCTGAGAAACTTATTAAAATATTCTTTCTTTTTCCAATCAATTTTGTGATTTTCCTTACATATTTCAGCCAACAAAATGTATTAGCAAAACCTTGAAAGCAGAAGCAGATGTGAAAAATCTAGCAATTTTCTGTTGACTTCTGGAATAAAGATATTTGCAAAAATACAAAAGTATGCTGCTCTCCTCACTGTTTTTCTTTGTTGTAGAAAATAATTTTCATAAAAATATAGTACTTCTATTTGTACCAGGTTTGTTATGTTTAAATGAATTATTAAATATCTTTAAATTTCTAATTTGTTAATTATTAATAGATTAAAAACCCCAATAAATAAAAGTTATTTGAGCCAAACAGTAAGGATCTTAGCTGCTATGGGCCATATGCTCTTTGTGCTATTTTGGCATTGTAAAGCACTGGCAGACTATATAAATGAATCAGCTGTGTTCCAACAAAATGTTATTTACAAAAAAAAATTGTAACTAGATTTGTCCCCTGGTCAGTAATTTCTGATCCCAATTGTAGATTATCCCCATCCACATTCTCATGGGTATGGTTAAAAATCTTAGCACATTTTATGTGAAATTACTTGTAGAAATATCTGGCACAATAAACTTTGACTCTGAGAGGATGGCCTTTTCTCTTTTGTGCCCTCCCGCACCTATCTCCTCCTCCCTGCATTAATAATAATGACTACACTTCCTGTCTCAATAATGGAGTCTCACTAAATGTTTGTTAGAATCATGAAATAACCTGCCCAGTTTGAAGAAAGAGGTATCCCAAGTCTTTGATACATCGTGTTTTCCCCCATAGAATTTCTATAAATAAGGCCATATGACATGGTACGTATGTGTAATCCCAGCATTCTGGAAGCCTGGGACAGGAGGATCACAAGTTTGAGCCCAGCCTGGGCAACTTAGATATTTAGTGAGAATTGTCTTAAAATTAAAAAAAAAAAAAAAAATGAGGATGTAACAGGGCAAAGGACCTGGGTGCAAAACCTAGTACCGCAATAAAATTTTCATAAATATTAAGTGTTTTGAGACTCTACTGCATACCAGAATTCATCTTCCCAGCTAGCTTTGTAAGATAAGAAATACATATGATGTAACTGAGGCTCAGAGAGATGAAGCTGCTCTTTGAAGGTCACCGTTAGAGCAACCAGGAATGGAATCCTGATCCTGCATTCTTAACTAACACATTATGGTACTGATGAGGCATCAGGATGTCAAGCTTTAATGGCTGTACACAGTTCAGTCCAAATCCAAAGATGCTCTCATTCTGTGCTCACAACCAAGTGTCTGGTAGTAGATCATCTTCCCAATTACTTTCCTACAGAGTGACTACATTACCCAGTGATATGAGCATTTCTGTCACTTACATGTTTTTTGTATTCTAAATAATTTTGTGTTCTGAATTATTGCCATTGTGTTTTGGGAGTAGATGATCTAAATTAGATCTCAGAGTTTAGGTCCATACAGCTAAGAGTCAAATTGGGGTTTAGGGATGACACCAAGTTCTTTGTCACAAGTCTACTACAATATACAGGGACTTGGTGGCTAGCAAGGCTGAGATTGAAACAGTATGTCTGACTACTAGATATACATCTTTATCTTTCTACATCCTTATATTTTTTATAAGATTAATTTTTGTTTAGAGAAAGGGCTGAATCCAGATTTTTCTTTGCAATTATAACAAAAACTATCGTTTGTGGCATTTGAAGAAGCCACACTCTTAATTTCTCTCAGAAAAGACCTGAAAGATCACTTTGGTGCAGTTTAAATAATAAGCTTCTGAATATGTGCATCAGCTCATTTCACCTGGTGTCCAGTACAACTGAGTCTGTCCCATGACTGCACAAACTAAACCCACTGTATTTAGTTAATCAAACAGCTCATCCCACCAAATTAGGACTTGGGTACCCGGAGCAGAGGGTTGGCCTAGACTCAGCCTTTTCCAGAGTTCAGAAAAGGGCACTTACATGCACACACGCCTGTTTCATACCTAGGCCTGTCTGCTGAGTAGTCACAGTACAGCCCTTTGTGTGGGTCGCAGAGGCTGGCTTCATTGCAGATATCTCCTGATTGCTTGGCACAGACTTTGCAGCAACCACAGCCGTCCCTCACCAAGCTCACACCAGGAGGGCAACTGGGTTTCTGATGAGGGCATTTGCAGGGCCAGTGACAAAACTGTTTATGCTGAAGCACTTCTGTTGCTTCTCTGGGCCCTCCTTCAGGTGTCCCATCTAACAGGCCTGGGTCCAGTGCCCTGCAGCAAAACTGAATTTGATAATAAAGGCAAGATTAGAAATAGTTTTTCAAACTAATTTCAGAAGTCTTGTAGGAATAGATTTCCCCAAAATGGGTAGAGCACAGTGTGGTGAGCTATAATAATGTCTATCAGCATTTGAAACAGCACTTTCTCTAAGCAATTATCCACTTAACTTTAAAAGACTTTATTCTTTTTTTATTTCTTCTTTCTCACTGGTCCTTCTCAACATCGTCTGCCACTTTTTCCTCAACCTCTGATCTCTAAATAGTCCCCCTGTTTAATACTTCTAAATACCTTTCACTGTATATCTTATCTCCTACCCAGTACAGTCTAGAAATCAATAGCAAAAGAAACCACAGAAACTATTAAATGTATCAAAATTAAATAACACATACATAATCAATGGGTCACAGAGGAAATTAAAGAAATAAGACAGTCCTGAGAATTAAATGATAATACCTATCTAGCATACCAGAATTTATGGGACACATTGAAACCAATTCTATAAGAAGTTTATAGCAGTGAATGCCCATTTCAAAAAAGTAGAACAATCCCAAATATCCTAGTGATGTACCACAAGGTCTTAGAAAAAAAGAACAATCCAGACCCAGAGCTTGTACAAGGAAGTAAATTATAAAGATCAGAACAGAAATAGAGACTAAAAAAATAAGAACAATGAATTAAAGAGCTGTTCTTTGAAAGAATAAACAAAATAGACAAAGCTTCCACCAATCTTGCCAAAAAAGGAAAGTAGAGACACAATGCAATTACAAGTTAAAAAGGTGAAATCATAGTGGACACTACCAAAATCCAGGAAATTATTAGCAACTACTTCACCAACATACAGTATATGCCAAACAGTTGGAGTACTCAAAGATAATGGATTCCTAGATACATATGGCTTGCCAAATTTAACCCAGAAGACTTAAAAATCTTCAACAATCCAATAATAGGCAATGAAATCAAAGCTGTACTTAAAAAAAAAAAACAAAAAAACAACCTAGGAAAGCTCAGGACCTGATGGATTCATGGCTGAGTTTTACAAGAATTTGGGGGAATATCTAACAGTAATACTCAAGCTTTCTAATGAAATGGAGGGAAGAAGTACTTCCTAAATTATTCTCAGAGGCTAACATTATGGATTCCCCAAACTAGAAAAGGATCAAGCCAAAAAAACTATATGTCAAATTCTCTAATAAACATAGGTGCGAAAATCCTTAAGAAGATACTGGCAAACAGGAAGCAATAAATCATCCAAAAGAGTATATACTATGACTAAGAGGACTTTATCCCAGGGATGCAAGGGTGGTTCTATTCATGATAAAAACCCTGAAGAAAATAAGTGTATTAGGCCTTTATCAACATGATAATTGCCGTTTATAACCTACTGCTATATTAAATGGGGAAAAATTGAAAGCTTTCCCTCAAAATCAGAAACAAGATAAGGATGTCCATTATCACCACTCATATTCAATATATCCTGAAAACAGCCAGAGCATCAGGCAAGAGAAACAAAAGGGATATGTATAGAAAAGGATAAAGTCAAAATATCTGTATTTGTAGATGACATTATTCTTACTTACAAGACCCACCCACCAGAAGACTTCTAGAATCAATAACCAAATTCAGTAAACACACAAAAATCAGTAGCATTCCTATACACTAATAATGAACTCACTGAAAAATCACAAAAACAGAACTATCCACAATAGCATCAAAAAAATTAAAAGTGTAATAACCTAAGGAAGTAAAAGACCTCTACAGTGAAAATTACATCACTCTGAAAAAGGAAATCAAGGAGGACATCAGAAAATGGAGAAAGATCTGTTCCTGGATAGGCAGAACCAACATAATTTAAGTGTTTGCAAAACTAATATATAGATTTAGTACCATCCCAATCAAAATACCATCATTTCTCACAGAGGTAGAGAAAATATTCCTAAAATGTATATGGAATCTGGAGAGATCCATAGTAGCACTAACAATCCTGGGTTAAAAAAAAAACAAAGCAGGTGGCATCACAATCTCAGACTTGACATTATACTATAAAGCTACTGTGGTTACAACATTATACTGGCACAAAAATAAGCATGTGGATCAGTGGACCAGAACAGGAGAAGTAATAACAACACCAGGCATATATAGCTATGTGGTCTTTGATGAAGGAGCCAAAAATTTACACAGGAGGAAAGATAACCTCTTTAATAAATGGTGGTGGGAAAATTGGATATCCACATGCAGAAAACTGAGTCTAGACCCATGTCTCACCATGTACTAAACTAAAATAAAAATGGTTCAAAAACTAAATGTTAAAGCAGAAACAATCTGCTCAAAGATAAGATAGGTACAACTCTTGAAGACATAGGCCTAGACAAGGTCTTAGTGAATAGAGCCTCAGTGACACAAGAAATAATTCCAAGAATCAACAACAGGATCATATCAGATTTTAAAACTGTTACACAGCAAAGGAAACAACAAATAGAGTGAGGAGGCAGTATACAGAATGGGGAAATTTTTGCTAGCTGTTCCATGGATAAACGAATAACATCAAGAATATGTGAAGTAAAAAAGAGGTCTGGGGATGTAGCTCAGTGCTGCTTTGCTTTCCTTGCAAGCACAAGGTCCTGAGTTCAAGCCCCGATACTGGAAAAAAAAAAAACAGACTCCCCCCCAATAAAATATCTAATCAGGCGGGGATTTTGCTCAGTGGTCTGCCACCTGCCTTGCAAGCACAAGGACAAAAGTTATATCTGTGGTATCAAAAAAAAAAAAATCTGATAAAAAAATGAGCAACCAAAATGAAAAAATGAATACACACTACTCAGAAGTACAAATAACCAATGAATACATGAAAAAAATGCTCATCATCTCTGGCCGTCAGAGAAATGCAAATTAAAACTACACTGTAAGAGAGTGAGTTTTGCCAAAGCAGCCCTGGCTTGGACTTCAGATTCCCCTCTGCCACGTGGCCCATCCCGCTCTACCGGCCTCCTTTGTAGCCAGCGCCATTCCCTGCAGGTGCCATTGATTGATTGCCCCGACTCAGCGCCAGGAGGGTGAGTTTTGCCACAGTGGCCCAGCTTGGACTTCAGATTCCCCTCTGCTGCACAGCCCGGCCTGATCTACTGGCCTCCTTCATAGCTGCACCTTTCACTGTGGGCACGATTGATTGATTGCTCCAACCCAGGCAAGCAGGGTAGCCACATGGGTGCCACTGAGCACCACCCCCCAACACTCAGAGCCCCTGATTGTGCCAGTCCTTGGACGCACTCTGCAGAGGCATGGCTGGATATAAAGGGTGTTGATTGATCCTATTATGTTCCTGATTGTATCATTTGGGATAAAGGCTACAGACTGATTTGATGAGTTATTTTCTCAATTGTGAAAATGAGAATGTCTATAAGTCATTAGGGTGTCAGGAAGATTGACCCAGAGATTGAATCAAGGACAACCCAAAAGCAAAAATAAAGATGAGAAAACACTTAAGCAAGCCACAAAGAAAGACTTCCACTCCACCAATGTCAAACAGTAAGGCAAAGGAGGATGAAAAGTCTGATAGTGAACCTCCAGGACCCTCAGAACTCACAGCACAGAAAGTAACAAAACTGATCAAACTCTAGAAAAAATCAAAACAGAAATAATTTCCCAGATAAACATAGAGATGGTGAGCAAGATGAAAGACATGATTCGAGACTCCAGAACAGAAACTGACAAAAAGATAGATGACTTGAGGAACATAATAGAAACCATGAAGGCCCAGCATAAGAAACAAATGGAAACAGTGAACACACAATATAGGAAATAAATGGAATCCATTAAACATTCAAACATCAAGGAGAATAAAAACTCTATTGAAAGCATACGCAACAGAATAAAAGTTTGTGAAGATAGAATCTCAGATATAGAAGATAAAATTGCAGTCAGTGACCCTGAAAGGAGAGGTCTCTTAAAAACAGTAAGGGAGCATGAGAAATCGATCCAACAACTCCTAGATGATGCAAAGAAGAATAACATAAGACTGATAGGGATCCATGAAGTAGCAGGAGAAAAAAATAACTTAAAAAATCTTTCCACAATTAATGACAGAAAACTTTCCAAATAGAGGGGAAGAATTTCACATACAGATAAGCGAGGCATATAGGACTCCACATAGCCACGATAAAAAGAAAACTACACCTACACATACAATAATCAAGATCCCGGAAACCCAACAGAAGAACAAAATACTTCAAGCAGTAAGAGAAAAGAAACAAATCACATGCAAAGTAAAGCCCATCAGAATCACAGCAGACTTTTCAACACAAACCCTCAGGTCAAGGAGAGCCTGGAGTGAGGCACTTCAAGTCCTAAAAAAACAACCTCCACATAAGACTGATGTATCCTGAAAAACTCTCTTTCAAAATGGATGGAGAAATACGATACTTCCATGACAAAGAACACCTGAGAAACTTCATGAACACCAAACCAGCACTACAAAGAATTTTTTAAAATATCCTAGAAAAAGACAATGAAGATCACAACACCATGAGGTCCAACACAGCAAACCAAATAATCAAGGCAAGAAACTAAAAGGAGAGGACAAAAAATTAAAAAGAGTCAACAAAAGGACAATAACATGACAATAATAAGTCAGTACATATCAGTTATAACCAGCATTGTCAATGGCCTCAATTGACCAATCAAGAGAAATAGATTGGCAGAATGGATTAAGAAGCAAAACCCAACAATATGTTGTATACAAGAAACACACCTAGTGCAAAAAGAAGCCCATAGACTGAAAGTGAAAGGATGGAAAACAATTCTCCATGTGACAGGAGCCCAGAAAAAAAGCAGGGATAGCAATCTTATTTGCAGACAAAGTAAATTTCAAGCCAAAACTGATTAAGAGAGACAAAGAAGGCCACTACATCCTTATAAAGGGAACAATCCAAGAGGAAGAAATGACAATCATAAACATATGCACCAAATATAAATGCCCCCAACTATATAAAACAAATATTAAGAAACATGAAAAACCAAATAAGCA